ATATATGAGTTTGTGTAGTTTCAAGAAATGAATGATAGCCTAAAAGAAAAGTAGCTATTCTATCTAGATTAATATTAGTTTTATATTTTAATCTTCATCTATTATATCTTCTATAATTTCTTTTAATGCAATAATATAAAATGGATTTTCATCACAAATTTCTACTTAATTATTTTTATTTTTATTTTTATTATTAGATTTTGTAAAGCTCAAATAGATATAGTATTTATTGAGTAAAATTAAGATATTTTAATTTAGAATCTTTATTCAATCAACTAATTTTTAGGTTATTTTTAAAAGACTAATCTTATCATCCATGCATATAACATAAGGATAGTAGTAAATCCAAGTTAAATACTTGTTTTTAGATTGAATGCACATGATTTTATTGTAAGTCTAAGAATAAATGTTTTTAGCTTATTTAATTTATTTGCATTGGTTGTCAAAGAAATAATAATCTTAATTTTATCCTTTTTAGATTCTTCAATTTGTAGGCATATAATAGTCTTATTTGGTGCCACTCAATAGAAAAGACATATTTCATCTATATTATAGATGCTTTTTTTGGCATACCATATTATTTTTGTATTTATATTAAATATCATTTCTTTAATAACCATAATAACCATGGATCTATTTTTTTATATAATCTAAAGCTATGAAATCTTTAAAATCTTAAAATTTTAAAAAATAATCTATTTGAAAACTTTGTTATATTCTTATCATGTTATAGAATTTTTGCTTAATATTTTTTTATATTTGAATAGTTCTAAGAAAATTACATTTTTTTTCGTTTAGTACTGTAGCACCCAATTGTCAAGGACTTCTCAAGTTGGAAATAGTAGATAGTACAAGCACGTTTTGTAGCTAGGTTTGAGAATTCAATTTCCAAATACCACTAGTATTTATTAAAGATATTGCTCATTGTATCTTAGATTAGTACTTTAACAAGATAAAACTCTTCTTCAGCTTAATTCATAATGGTAATTTATAACACCTAGAAAGTGTATTGAATTTATTTACAAATTTTGAGATTTGTCACATTAATGAAGTTTAATTGAAGAAACATGGTTGAAGAAATAGAGAAGAAAAGTAAAAAAGAAAAGAATAGAAGATGAAAATGAGTAAAAGATTAAATTATTGAATTGAAGTTTTTTACAAAAAATATAATAATTTTTTATATTTTTTACTTAAAATCTAATTAGTAGATATTTTGGCTAAAAATTGTTTAATTAATTAAAATATAATTTATATATTAATCTTTTAAAATTTTAAATTTTAAATTATCAATATTATTTTTTTACAATAAATCATATTAATTAGCAAGAATTTTTTATTTTATGATATTTAATTTATATTAATTTATATTACTTATATTTATAAAATAATAGTCTTTAAATTCAAATGAATTTCTTTGAGAATCCTTAATTATATCTAATTTAGTGCATAAAATTTTAATTCTATTGAAATCTAATAATTATTTATTATTTATTTTTATATTTTTAAAATAAGATTTAAAAAAATATAAGTTTTACATATTAAAAGATAAAAATCACATATATTATGAAATTATAAAAGAATCAAATTGAATTATATTTTGAATGGATAAAATATTTAAATATATAATCAAGTCACATCCTAATGCTAAAAAGTACAATATTATTTTATTCATTAAATATTCGAAATATATATATTATATATACTAATATTTCTACTAATTAAGTATTTAATTATTTTATTTTATTTTTATATAATTTTTTATTGATTATATTATATATTATCTATTTTATATAAATTCCAAATCTTAATATTAAATCAATGATATACAATAGACTTAAGCTACAAACACATTCCAAATTACAAAATGCATATATATATATGTAGAAAGAGAGAGAGAGAGAGAAAGAGAGAGAGAGAGAGAGAGAGAGAGAGAGAAAGAAAGAAAGAGAGAGAAAGAGAGAGAGAGAGAGAGAGAGAGAAAAAAAGAAAGAAAGAGAGAGAGAAAAAAAAAAAAAGAAAGAGAGAGAGAGAGAGAGAGACCTTTGATTGGTGGATTATTGTTGTGTGTAGTCTAATACATGCAATAATTGCAATAGAGTTAGAAGATGCAAGGTATGATGCATCAATATAGATTTCTAAGAAAAATCCTTGAAAAGAAAAAAAAAAATTGATTTGAACTTTGTTTTGCTACAAGTCTCAATCTTGTTGTTACATGTGTAAATTATAGGTACCTATTGTTTATTTGCTAATGTTCAAAAGAACCCTACATGCTATCATATTACATAAGTTCTTACTTGAGAATGCACCAAGTACCTAGCTGTAGAAGGTAAGTAGAAATACAAAAACAATCCTATTAAGTCTAATAGAATTTTAAATAAAATTCAAAAAAATCTTAATAATCTTAATGAAACTTTGACCAATTCAAAAAAAAATAAAAGAAGTTATAAAAGAAATAAAAATAATTCCTAAATTAATCTCAGAGAAAAATAACAAGAAATCTTAAAAAAATATAAAAATAAATCTTTAAAGAAATAACAATAATCTTAAAGAAATACTAAAATTAGAATATTTAAAATAAGTAATATAAATATAAATTCTAATCAAATCTTATTTTAATTCTAATCAAAATCCTAATAAATTTTATAAAATTTTAGATCAAATCTTAATTGAAATCTTAATTAAACCTTAACCAAATCTTAGGTCAAATCCTAATTGAAATTCTAATGAAATCCTAAATCTTATTCAAATTCCAAAATCAAATCTTAAGAAAATCCTAATCAAATTCTAAAACTTAAATAAACTCTTAATAAATCCTATAGTAGATTGAAATCTCAATAATTAGTAATCAAATTATTAATATTAACTCAAATTTTACAAAATTCTTAATAATTTAGTTAAAAACAAGCATAACAAAGATGAAATTGATTGCACTTACCAATTGAAAGAAATGCAAGATTATCCAATCAGGTATTGATGGCCTCTTACTTCAACCTAAATGCTAAACTTCCAGAGCTAATATCTCCTTTTGGAATTATTATTTTTCTTTCAAATTTCGCCCAAATATTGAAAACTGAATCTAATATCTATATAAAAAAAATTCACTTCAATCCAATTAACAAATTATTGAAAAACTTAGAAATACTCATAGACTCTCAAACTCTAATTTTTGAGACCTCAATCTAAAAATAACCTCATATATTTCAATCTAACTATTTTTTTGACCTCAAAATTTCCACACACATCTACAACCATTACATCAATACACTATTCAAAATTTACATATATACATATCATAGAACTCAAGAAATCTTTAAATTTATAAAGATATTTTAATCTTTTAAATTCTAATTCTACCAAAAATATCACTAATTTTGAAAATCCTTCAAAATCTCAATATTGATTTAAATGATATAAAACCAATGCTTAAAAATCTTTCTTCAAGTTTTCCCTCAAATTCCATTCTTTGATCTACAAATGAATCCTGCAGTCACTATATGGATGTGGTTTTGTGCCTTGAGGTCTGATTTCGACCTAAATTGATATTTTGTCCTCTTTGGATATTAATTTTAGGTAATTTGAAGTAATTTTTACTATCTTTCTATCATTTATCCTTATTTTTCTACTACATCTTTCTATTAGGCTCTTCTATAATAACATCCATAGTTTTATTCTTCACTATATAATCATATTATCAAACAACAAGACCACAAAAGATTATCAACAATCTGAATTTGGAGTGTTCAAATCCAGATAGATCTCTTCTTTTGTGAGTATATGACATTGATTAAAAATATACTATTTTATTTTGAATATTCATCTCATTTATAAAAATAAAAAAATAAATAAATCTATGTATGAAGTGAGAAATTAATGACTTAAGACTAAAATTCGGTTGTTTTTGTAGAAAAATTATAAACATATGATATTGAAAAGATACGCTTAGAATAAAGGCATAGACAATATATTCATCTAAAAATTGAATATCAACTGCAATTAATTGTTAAATTAATGATTAGAATTTATAAATATGATTTACAATGGTTTCATTGGATTTTATTTTCAATGAGTGTAATTTTCTTGAAGTGCATTTTGATGACACCATCTTTGGATACAAAATTTTTGGTCGATTCATGCCATATGAATTTTGTTGATGTACAACTCTCAATATGTAATGCCATAATAAGGTCCAAAATATTGTTAACTATTGCAAAATTTATCATATTACACTCTTTTCTATCAAATTTTTTTTTTAAAACTATTAACAAGAGGGCTATTGGAATGCCTATAATAAATTTAGTGGCTGCATGTTGTTGTTGGATTAGGCTCATCACCATGAACTACGTACCAAAGTTTCTCTACGTTAAAAAAGAAAAAAGAAAAAAGTAAATTTATTTTTTTAGAAATTAAACTATGTTCCATCAAAATTTCCGAGGTCTTGTGTGTCTGAAATGTTGAAATGAGTTGAAAGTTGAAATGTTCTGAAAAAACATAACTCTAACTCTGATACTACATGATACTTTGAAAGAGTCAAATCGAATTACATTTCCGCAAGATAAAATATGTTTAAGTACATAATCAAGAGTCAGCACAATTTTCCATCAATATTAACAAATCTGCAAGATGGTGGACCTTGAAAAAATACCGTCCACAACCGAAGTTGGATGATGCAAGGGCTGGAAGGAGGAAGCAAGCATTTCATCCACTGGGTGCGAACGTGATGTCGTTCCCGGGCAGCGGTGAAAAAACTTGTCAGCCAAGCACGACTGAGCCCGTCAAATCCAGGCGCATATATATTCATCCGGCACCAATTATTCATTTGTTCATCAATCGACATATCCATCCATCTATCCATCTATCCAGGTGGTAGTGTGAATCGGACTCAGGAGGGGAAGCAACAAAAGAGGGGGGCGGGGAGGGCGACAATCCGTCAACCTGCTTCTTCTTCGTCTTCTTCTATTTCGTTCGCTTCCTCAGGTCTGGGTCCCAGACGGGCTTGTGGGGTGGGGGTGGTCTGGTGTCGGGGTCGGAGGCTAGTCTGAGGAAAGGGTTGGGTTGTTGCGTGCACTATCTCGCTTGTTGTGCAGCAGGAGCAGCAGTCAGGCTCTGCAGCCAGCTCTCATGAGCGCCAAACCCTAGCGCGTCTCTGTCACCATGGCCGGCCAGCAGCAGCAGCAGCCATCCTCGCTTTTCGAGGCGGCGCTGCAGCAACAGCAGCAAGCTGATGCGTATACGTTTCTGGAATTGAACACGCAGGGGGACGACTACGAGTATCCTGGGTTTACAGCGGAGTCGTTGAGTAGCCAGGGACCGCCGCGCGGGAGCGTGGTAGGGGGTGTCGGGGTATGGACGGAGCCGGCGGGGGAGGATTTGGTGGGAGGCGTCGGGAGTCCAATTAGTGTTGGGGATGGTCGGGATTTGACCGGGTTGAGTGGATTGGGAGGAGGCGACGGTGTTGTGGACGGGAAGAGTGATGGCGGGCATGCTCCTGGTGTAGCGAGTTTGACGTCAGGGATCGGTGAGCTGAATTTCGAAGACGCTGGGGATGAGGACAGCCTCGACTATTCGAAGCGGCACCTGCCGGAGCATGCGTGCAAGTATTGTGGCATACACAACCCGGCTTGTATCATGCGCTGCAACGTGCCTACGTGCCGAAAATGGTTTTGTAATTCCCGGGGCAATACTTCCGGGTCGCATATTGTTAATCATCTGGTAACGTTTCTGGGCCTTTTGAACTGTCCATTTATGTGGCAGGTGGTCGTGTATCGGGTTAGGGTTTAGCTTCTCCAACAATGAGTTATTACTTGGTCTTTTATCATTAATAGAATATTTTAATTTGATTTTTATCCGCTTAGGTCTATGTTTTTTTCCTTCCTTTTAATTTTTTTTTAAAAAATTATTATTTCCCTCTCTATTCTCTTCTCTTTTCCGATTCAGGTTCTTAGATGGCGGGTGCACTGACGAATTTTAGGTTCTTTGGGTTTTCTAGGTTACATTTTGAATACGAACTTGTGATTCTGATCTGAGGCTGGAGCTTTCTTTGTTTGTGTAAAGTCTCAAAGGTTTATGGCCAGGTCTATTGAACGTTGTTTTCATTTGGAGTTGAAATTAGTGCGCATTTTTCCGCAATGTGCAAAGAGAGGATGTTTTGTACGTTATGCATAAATTCATTATTGCATTACGTGCAGTTGATCACTTTATTGCCCGTGTCTTCGAAGCTCAATACTTTAGGGTTTGAAATTGGTCCATTTTATGGAAAAGGGAGAAGGCATGGAAGTGGTGTTCTCAGATGTACCCGTCAACCTCTGGAGATTAAATGGTTGTTAGGGATTATGCATCTTATTTTAGGGAGGATGATTTTTCGTGAAACCAAGAGTAAACTATGCATGGGATGTAATTCTACCTTAGAAAGCCCGATTATGGATGTTCTTTTATTTGGTACGACAATATATGAGTTAATTGTAAATTTTTACAGTTATTTAATCTTCAGAGTTTATTATTATGTTGTTCATGATATTTTCTAGATTATACACCTTGAAAATTCTCGATGTGGTATCGATGACCCTGTTATCGCTACATCGTGGTCTTCGTCGCACTTATTCGAACGCTTGAAAATATTGCGCTACATATCAGCATATTTTCTCTAAGTACCGCAGTAAGTGGATTCTAAAATTGATCTGGTAGGAAACTGACTCGTACTTTTCAGGTTCGAGCCAAACACAAAGAAGTCTGCTTGCACAAGGATGGTCCGTTGGGAGAAACGACCTTGGAATGCTACAATTGTGGGTGCCGCAATGTGTTTTTGTTGGGGTTCATCCCTGCGAAATCTGAAAGCGTTGTAGTACTTCTTTGTCGTGAGCCCTGTTTAAGCGTGAATGGCTTGAAGGATATGAACTGGGACCTCACTCAATGGTTACCTTTGATCGATGACCGTTGTTTCCTGGATTGGTTAGTTAAGGTATGATTCTTGGGCCTCTACGAAAATGGATATTATCTATGCTTGAATTTTCCTTTTTTCCCTTTTCCTTTTCTTCTTTTTCTCCATTATACCTAGATGTTAGGGCATGTATTTCATTGGAAATGGGATGGTGATAAGCATTTTGTGGATATTTCTATGATTTAACTTGTATATACTCTTAGATTTCCTCACTTTCCGGTTAAATGTATTAGTATTATCATTATATTTCTCCGGTTTCCTCTCCAGAAAATGTTTTTTAATTACTTATACGGCGGCAGGTTCCGTCAGAACAAGAACAGCTGAGGGCACGCCAAATAAGCGCTCAGCAAATAAATAAGGTGGAGGAGCTTTGGAAGACAAATCCTGACGCCACTTTAGAGGATCTTGAGAAGCCTGGTGTGGATGATGAACCACAGCCTGTGGCACTCAAATACGAAGATGCTTATCAGGTTCGTGGACGGTTCGTTTTGTCTTCTTTGATTGCCTTTGCAAGTATACTGCAATTGATTTAGTCACTTCTATCTATTATAGATAGGTTTAGGAATTGTGGCTGCTGTTTTTTTAGTTGAATTTACGTGGAAATGTCTCTGATATTAACGTGCATAAATATGCAGTCATCTTTTTCTCAGTAACGGTATACGCTATCAACATTAACAATCAATCACCTTTTATTTATTTATTTATTTATTTATCTTGTCAGTATCAAAACGTTTTTGGCCCGTTGGTGAAACTGGAGGCCGATTATGATAAGGTATCCCTACTCCTTTAAAAAATACACATTGCTTTGTGTGTGATGTTTACAAGTCAACGTGATGACTTTGGATCGTGTTCCTAGAAATCAGTAATACTTGTAGGTTGTGTGTTGCTTCTTGTTTCTGGTATTTCATTGGCCATCATAATACCAACTTAGAAAGATCACGGTGATTTTGGAAGTCGTTAATTATAACATTTCTCTCATCGGTCCTCTCTGAATACCTATGTAGATCACATCAAGATTAATCATGTTTGGCTTTGAGACCCTTACGTCTAGCTCATTGGATGGTAGAGAATTTAGAATAGTCCAATTCTTTGTTTTGATGAAAGTTTTCATGTACGGTTTGCAGATGATGAAAGAGTCTCAAAGCAAAGACAACATAACCGTGCGGTGGGATGTGGGTCTCAACAAGAAGAGGGTTGCGTATTTCGTCTTCCCCAAGGTTGTTATTTCTATTTAATTAGACTTTGACCTGGTTCGGTCTTTACCCATTTTGTTGGTTTTTGAACTGATTGGGCTCATGTTGATTATTCTTCCAATGAACTCAATCGGTGTTGATTGTGGTAATATATGCAGGAGGATAATGAATTACGGTTGGTTCCTGGAGATGAATTGCGTCTGCGTTATCCGGGTGATGGAACGCATTCAGGATGGCAGTCTGTGGGGCATGTGGTATGTTACGCTGTTGGAATTTGCGGAGTTGGGTTTTTAGGCTTTTGTATTGCACTGCAAGTTGTCTGTGCAATGCATTCTCTGATTTCGATGTTATTGAACAGTATTACTGATGATGCTTTTCATGCAGATAAAACTCACGGCGCAAGAGGAGGTGGCTCTTGAGTTGCGCGCTAGCCAGGTTTGTGACATTGGGTTATATTGGTCATGAAGTGTGTTTTTACCGTGTCTATTTATGTCGATTTGGTCATTTGTCATTTCTAGTGTAGTATTAGACTTTCATGTGTACAGCATGAATTGTCCTTGTATTGGCTTCCTATGTGGCTGTTTGTCCTGCCCTTCAGTCGACTGATGAATCTTTGATCGCTCACTGAGTAGATGGTCACATCCTGTTAAATTTGAGTATTGCAGGGCGTACCTATTGATGTGAATCACAACTTCAGTGTTGATTTTGTCTGGAAAAGTACAAGTTTTGATCGGATGCAAGTGGCGATGAAGACATTTGCTGTTGATGAAACAAGTGTTAGTGGGTAAGTATCAGAAAGGCTCTGATGAAATTGTTTGGATTTGTTATATTATTAACTCATTATAGTTTCTATTACTTCCTCCACCTGTTGTGTGTAGTACACATTGTTTTGATTAGTAACGCGCACTTTATGTCTTAGGTCAACTTATTTAAACGCGATTTGGTCTGCAGATATATCTATCATCGTCTGCTGGGACATGAGGTTGAAATGCAAACTGTTCGGAATACACTGCCAAGACGGTTTGGAGCTCCTGGACTACCGGAACTTAATGCCTCACAGGTTTGACTGGATTACCTTAATCAGACGGCTTAGGGTAGTTGCACCCAAAGTTCTGGATTCGTATCAATCATAATTGAGCGAGTTGTGTATTTATTATATTTCTTAGAGGCTTTGGATCATGACTTAGGCCTAGTCTTTGTCCAATGAACTCACCATCACAATCGCCTTCAACACCTTGGACTCAATGAGTTAGGTTACAGGAGTTCCACATCAAGTGTGGATGGGGTGTGTTAGCTTGGTTCTCATTACAGATTGGATGCTTATGTTGCTTTGCAGGTATATGCTGTAAAGAGCGTGTTACAGAAGCCTGTCAGTTTGATTCAGGGTCCACCAGGCACTGGAAAAACAGTAACATCGGCAGCCATTGTGTATCACTTAGCGAAACAGGGTCAAGGCCAGGTAATGCTTTTAAATTTTAAATGTTTGGTTTTCATGATCAGACGCATTCAAGTAGTGTATGCGGCCCTTTATCGTGGTAAATAACTGAAGTGCGAGATCTCAACGAGAGTAACTAAGGACCCAAATGTCTAGGTTTTCTTTGGACCGCTCTTTTCCTTCTTCTTCTTCTTCTTCTTCTTCTTCTTCTTCTTCTTCTTCTTCTTCTCCTTTTATTTTACTTCAATATATTTTTAATCTTTTTGGATTAGTTGATAGAGGTAGTAGATATTAACTCTGTTCTTCATGCCTTGCAGGTTCTGGTGTGTGCTCCCAGTAACGTTGCCGTGGACCAACTTGCAGAAAAAATCAGTGCAACAGGTCTTAAGGTAATAGTTGTATTCCGCTATTTAATATCTACAAGTTAATTCGAAAAAAATGGTACAGTGGTCCGTTGTGAATATTTGTGAACTTATGTGACCATTTTTTTCCAGGTCGTAAGACTGTGTGCAAAGTCAAGAGAGGCCGTCAGCTCTCCTGTGGAACACTTAACACTTCATTATCAGGTGATATACAAAGCTATATCTGTTTGGTATTTAATATATTAGATGTTCACTTGAGTCCTGCTTAGTATGCAATGTCTGTTACTTGATGAGTTTTCAAGCTCGTTGAGGATTCTTCAATTTTGTAGTTTTAAATAAATTAAATTTTCATATGTTTGGATGATTACACAGGTTCGACATTTGGACACTACGGACAAAAGTGAGCTGCACAAATTGCAGCTTCTGAAGGATGAACTTGGTGAGCACAACTGGCCCTATTTCCTGCGTCGATTCATCTTCTAGAAAATGCATGATATCTGATGGACTGAGGTTTTGCTTACATGATGTATCTTTGGGATTTTGGCCCCAGTATTTTGGAGACATGAGCTTTTGTGGCGTTTGATAATTTAACTTGATCTCGAATATGTTGTTGACTATGTTGTTTTGTCTCGTAGGTGAATTGTCTAGTGCTGATGAGAAGAAGTACAAATCTTTGAAGAGAGCTACTGAAAGAGAGATATCTCAAAGTGCTGATGTGATCTGTTGCACCTGTGTTGGAGCGGGTGATCCCCGGCTTGCAAACTTTCGTTTCCGTCAGGTGTGCATATATTAGAACTTTTATTTATTCGTTTATTTAGTATCAATTTATTGGTCGGATAGAATGTTAAGCAAATACCCTTCTATGTTTCAAAGTTGCTGACCTAGTGGAAGTTTTTTTTATTTATTTATTTAGTGCAATTAAGGTTGTTTTTGAATTCATACAGAGCTCTCTGTGCCTTTCATGCAGGTCCTAGTAGATGAATCGACACAAGCCACAGAGCCAGAATGCTTGATTCCGCTGGTACTTGGAGCTAAGCAAGTAAGTTTATCCTGCAGCTTCTTTTTGTATTCTCAATTTTGCATGATGTTTTTGAGGTATTTTTAGTGTGGACTTGTAGAATTGACAAAGGTTACTTGTCAATCATGTGTGGGTTTTTGCAGTTGGTCCTGGTTGGGGATCACTGTCAGCTAGGACCTGTCATTATGTGCAAAAAAGCTGCTCGCGCAGGGCTTGCTCAATCTCTATTTGAGCGACTTGTTCTACTTGGAGTGAAGCCTATTCGATTGCAGGTGATTGCTACTTTTATTGTTATTGGTTTATTCGTATGCTTTAAATGTTACTGCTTAAGATCGATTTTTTATTTTTATTATTCATCTGAATGCCTTCTTCTTTTAGCTCACATTCAAGTCGCACAATTATTATCACATCTGAACTTTTATTTACTGTTAGGTTGGGTATGTCGGTAACGAGTTCTAGTGGAAGGGTTCTAGTGAAAGAGAGAAACATTTCAAGCATTTGATTTATTAGCAATTTGACCATCTTTGATCTGATTGCTGGTTCTACCTTTTTAGGTTCAATATCGGATGCACCCGAGTTTATCCGAGTTTCCATCCAACAGTTTCTATGAAGGGACACTTCAGAATGGAGTCACTACTAGTGACAGAATGCTGTCTCAGATTGATTTCCCCTGGCCTGTTCCTAACAGACCTATGTTCTTTTATGTCCAGGTAAACAGGCAGAAAACATGTTTTTCATTCGTACTTGCATTCGGCTCCGTTAGATGCTTAGTATCCTGTTGGTTCCCTTCGATACTTGAAGCTGTGTTATGCCTGTTCTTCGTTGTTAATTGCAATAATATCGGCGTGTTAACTTATATGTGTTGCTGTTGCTATCCAGATGGGGCAAGAAGAGATTAGTGCAAGTGGTACTTCATACTTGAACAGAGGAGAAGCTGGAAACGTGGAAAAGATTGTAACTACTTTCTTAAAGAGCGGGGTAGTCCCATCTCAGGTATGTCTCACTCTACGACCTATTGTTTCTATCAACTATTGAGTTGCTTTGAATGACAGTTCATGATAGTTTTAGAGTTGAGTTTCTTTTACCATTTTCCAGAGAAATGTATTGTTTTGTTATTCAGGATGAAACTTTTTAATAGCAGAAACTGCTTCGTATGCGATACCTCATGCTTGACTGGTAAAATTTTAATGGATGTTGGGTTTTGTTTGACAATTGAATAGATTGGTGTGATCACTCCTTATGAAGGGCAGCGTGCATACATTGTTAACAACATGGCTAGGAATGGCTCTTTGCGTCAACAGCTATACAAGGAAATAGAGGTATAATGCTTGCAGAGTGTACTATCCCGACAAACCTTCGTGATGTCTTCTGGGGTTTAAATTTTCTCGTGGCATCAGATTTCATGACTACGTAAATAATGATGTGTCCGTGGTTTTCAGGTCGCAAGTGTGGACTCCTTCCAGGGTCGAGAGAAAGACTTCATCATTTTGTCTTGCGTCAGGAGTAATGAACATCAGGTATGCTCAGTAATCAATAAGTTGTGATATAGTAAGTTTTATGCTCGGTAGTGAAGTTGACCGCAGTGCTTTGTGTATCTTGGCTAATTCTTAACTTTCGGATACAAAAGACCCTCTTGTCCTCACATCAGAAGTTGTTATTATAAGTTTAAGTAAAAGGTTGAATATTGTTTCAGGGGATTGGGTTTCTCAATGATCCACGGAGGTTGAATGTTGCCCTTACACGAGCTCGCTTTGGAGTCGTAATTTTGGGCAACCCGAAGGTCCTTAGCAAACAGCCTTTATGGAACACTCTGTTGACTCATTACAAGGTAAAGATCTTGGCTTTTCTTGTTCAGGTTCATTTTGAATTTCAATAAATAATTTGATGATTCATAGTCAAGTTAGTGCAAGCCAGTGAACTGAAACTGCGTCTTTGATAGTAGCACTTTTCATTCCCGCAAATATGCAAAGATATTAATCTGAAGAACTCAACCACTGGATTTTGGTGAACAGTTCTTCCAGGAAACTATTGTAGTAGTACTGAGGTGCCATCCTGATCTAATATTTCTGTCTTGGTCATTTTAGGACCATGAAGTGCTGGTGGAAGGTTCGTTAAACAATCTGAAGCAAAGCATGGTTCAGTTCCAGAAGCCTAAGAAGGTTTATAATGACCGTCGTGTCTACCCTGGAGGAGGTGCTCCTGCCTTGGGTCCCGGAGAGGGTTTTGTTCCGGCAGCTACTGCAGTTGCTGCAACTGGAGCTCCTGTCAACGACCGTCGACATGGTCGAGCTCGGCCGGTTGATGGGCGAAATGGTAATAGCTGATGTCATTTGCGGAAGTTACTGTCACAAATTAGTTTAACAGGAGGTTGTAAACTTGTTGAAATCACACGAATTTTGAATTATTTATGGTTTTCTTATTTTTTTGGCTGAATCATGCAGGAGGTGGATACGCGCCATTTGGTTCATTGAGCAATGGTGGAGCTCAGAAGGGACTACCACCTTCTCATGCCGGCCTTCCACCATCTCGGGGTGTTCCACTTACAGGATTCCCAAGTACACCTCTTACTCAGCCTTATGCAATTCCCTCCAGGGGTGGCATGCATGGTCCAATCGGAACAGTATCTCAGGTCCCACAAGCAGGCAATCGTGGCTTTGGGGCAGGTAGAGGTAGCACCAGCGGTCCTATTGGTGGTCATTTGTCACATCATCAATCCTCACAGCAACAGGGTGCTCTTGCGGATGCCTTTGGATTTGGTGGTCTTGACAATCCTGCTACTCAGGCCTCCCTTGGTGGTCCAATGATGCAACAGGGGATAATGACCCAGATGCAAACACAAACCCTGAGTCAGAACTTGCGGGATGGGTTCGGTCTTGGAGGCATGTCTCAGGATTTCTTTGGAGAGGATTTCAAGTCACAAGGATCACATGTTGGGTACTCCGGCCAGGAGTTTGCGACACAAGGGGGTTTTGGGATGGATTACTGCTCACAAGCAAATCAAGGTGGATACGGTGGAGATTTCAACACTCAAAATTCACAACCTGGATACTCACATCAGTCGATTGGAAACGATTTTATTTCACAGGTATGTATCAGAAAATTTAACATTAATGTTGCTTCTGCAGCTGATCCCTTGATCAAGCTTTTTATGCTTTGTTGGAACTGGCATGTGAAAGTTGAACGGGCTAATAGATTTGCTGTAGTAATGCAATCAAGTTTTTTATCTGACATTTATGAATGGGTTGTATTCACAGGACTTTTTAAGTCACGCAACTGATGGATTATTTACTCAAGGAGGTTTCAATGACCGTACGCAGGACCTTCCATCTACCCAGAATCACTATGAACTTGGGAGTATCCAATCTCAGGTATGTGTAATGTGTAGCCTTCTCTATGGAACATGAGGCTTCTGTTGACGTCATGAGCTTGCAATTATTGATACTCAAGATTTTAAATTATGGAATTGTGTATTGCAGGGTGGAATGTATACACAGTCTTTCACGCAGTATTCCCAACCTCATAATCCCCAACAGCAGCAGGCTGCTCAGCGCCGCTTCAATGGCTAGCATTATGGAGCAGTGGTTTGCGTGTCTCCTATGGACTCCAGCACCCTCAAAATTAAGGATATAGAGAAGCTATTATGAGCCCAGCTTCTAGCCTTACCCTGGCTCTCTCTGGCTTGGATGTATGCTTTTATCATCAGTCATAGATTTACATAAACACGTGCAGGAAAGAGAACAAAAGTTGTTAACAGGTCAACGCACTTTACCACTGTTTGACTGACTGGAATTCTCTGAAGATGAAAGGCATATGAAGAACAAGAGAGCTACACCTATTGATGGATTCGAAGAGGTGGACCTGAGTGAGTCTGAGGACCCAGTTCAGTGCTGTTGGAACAAGGAGTTTCTAAATTCAATACATCTAAGCAAGGCGTACGAGAAGGGAAAGCAGTCTGGATGACGCATGATGGAAAGGGAATGAATTGGGATGCTCTTGGAAAGGCAGTCCATGTTCTGGCCTTGTCGCTATGAGTTTCAACCTAAAATGTTCTCCCTGCTCCCGACAACATCATTTGGATGCAAGGCTTAAATTTCTTCCTGGGATAACTGGACTGATATCCTAGGGGATGAGCATTCACCTAAACTGCCATGTTTGGAATCACCAAAGTTCACGGAAGCGTGTGCATATATCGTATTCTATGGAGCTCTCATGATAAATGCGGGGACATCGAGACTTGACAACCGGAGATTTGTGGGAGCATGGTTGGTGTCTAAAAGATTTCAGGAAATTGGCGATTTTATGTCGTGCATGATGGGTGCACTGTGCTCCTGTGTGACGAGTGTAATGTCCTAAATTGCGAAATGCCTACAATCTGAAAAAAGGATCTTTTAGACAGAACGATTAACCCGACAAATGTCCTGTAAGAGCTTGGTGCTGGAGGAGCCGATCAGGTTGGAGTTCGAATAGTGTGCATGCCTCTTGTGAATAAGAGTAGTGCTCCCAGGGCAGCAGTTGTTGACGTGGGTAGAGCTTGCTTCGTGGGACGGCAATGTGACTCATAGAGGTTCCTGCTAGTATATTGCCCAGAAAAACTTTTGACGGAGTGCTCTGAAGTATAATTGAATTTGGCCTAGTGGCGTAATAATTTGTTTTTCTCTTATTTTGGTTTTTGTAGGAGTCCCTACATATTATTTTCACATTTAGAGATACATCAGGTGCTTGTTCCTCGTGAATGTGGTATAATTGTAGATCCAGATATAGTAGTCTGGAGCGTCTTAGTGATCCCTTGTCTACATTTGCAACAGTGACTTGCACGTTTTTTCAACACAGGGACACATGTTTGCAGCTTTATTATTTCCAGAATCTCACCACTCGGCTTTCTTTGCCTTTGGATTTGCCTCGTTGAGGACTATTTTGTGTTCATTCTCAGCTTTGGCTGCCTTTTAATTCGTCTTAATGCAGTAAGACTTGTTCTGGGCGCGTTGGTCAGTTATTGGTCGAGTCTTATGTCAATGATAGTGCGTTTTATAAGGTTTCTGACTGTTGTGACGTTATACTCAAGCACTTCTTTGGTATCCAGTAAGTAGCGAATTGTGCAGTGAATGCAGGCAGGTATAGATTCAGTCCCACTGTTTGTCACTTGGCTGCCCACTAATACTTGGAAGGAATGTATTTTATACAAAAGTCCTAACAACTCATACAAAGATTTGACATTTTTCAATAAAAATAATTTGATACTAGCCAAAAAGACATATCTTAGATTAATAATATCTTACAAAATTATAAAATATTTCTTCATATTTTATCTTTACACACTGTCTTGTTAATAAGATCTTAGATCTTCAAATTTTCATCTTAGGTCCCTTAGACAAATGACGTTGATATGGACAAGATGAAACCAAAGAAAAAGGAAAACCAAAAAATTAAAACAAAAACAAGAAGTAAGTGGTTCTTGTGTTTTAACTTTAATCAGCATTAATTCAAATTTTTGAATTAATTTGATAATTACATTAACTTGATATAAATATATATACATTTATTGAAGTCAAATATTTATAAAGACCATTTAAATATGCATATATGAAAATAAATAAATAAATCCAAAAAAAAATATTTAAGTAATAAAATATAATTATTATCATCTTTAAATTATAAAAAAATTGAATCTTATTTTAAATATTTATTCCTCAAAGAAAAATAATATGTATTATTTTAAGACCAATGTGACTTATAATTTTTTAATGCAAGATTATTGATTTAAAAAATATTATTTGTATTAAATTAATTAAATTGATACTAAAAGGTTGTTAATGGTCCAAAACTTCTAAAAAAAATATTCTTATACACAAATGCATTATATGACATGTGTGATAAAACTAATATTCTTTAACATAAAATAAAATATTTAAATTTTGATTTTTAATTTGTGTATATATTTCTAGAGGGAGAGAGAGAAAGAATACTACTAATGCCACCTTAGTTTTTGTTATTTACACTACAACTTTATGCAAACTTCAATCAGATTTTAGTCAAAAAAACTTCTACTACTACCACAACCATGTCATCATGATTTAATACATATATTACAAATATTGTAATGTTTTAATTAGAATTAAAAAAAATCAAAGAAACATGTCAAGTGGGTGGTGGATTGTGGTAGTAGTAACAAAAACCATGGTAACATTAGCAATGCCCTATATATGTATATTTATATATTTTAAAAAATTATATATATATATATATATATATATATATAATGTCTTCTTGACAAAAATAAGGTATAGTTTTATTTATTATATTTAAAAGATACAAAACATGTTAATGGATTTAAATATGGAACCTCTTTTGCAACTTGAAATATTAACAAAAAAATCAAACAAAATTTCCATAGGTTTTGAAACTTTCTTACTTTCATTCGAAGTATTTAAGAATATATATGTATATATATATATATATATATAAGCTAAAATAAAATACATAGACATCCAAGGTGTACGTTTAAGATTCATGGCACAAGAAGAGAAGGTGTGAAAGGACACTTCTCAATCCATGAAGAATTAGGGTTCTCCAAAATTCAGGTAAACCATCTCGCCGTGGTCTCCAAGCTCTCAAGCACGAAGGAACAAGGGAACAAGTGAACCAATCAAGAAGACGTGGAATAGAACGCGGAGGGGGAGTTCCCAATCGGGGAACGAGGAGGTCAGCAACGGACGGCCCAGATCGGCGACAGAAGGAAGCCCTAATCGGGCATAGGAGGCTCGCGGAGAGGGCAAGAGGGCAGCAGGGCGTCGAAATCGGTCTTTTCCTAGTGCATCGATCGATTCGTGCAAGTGTAGCTCGGAGCCTCGAAACGATCAGCGATGGCAACTGCTGCAGCTCGCCCTCTGGTGACTGTTCAAAGCGTCGACGGGGCTGAAAAGAGCGCCCAGACTACACTGCCTGCTGTTTTTCTGGCACCAATTCGCCCGGACGTTGTCGCCACCGTGCACACTGCTTTGGCGAAGAACAAGCGGCAGGCGTACGCCGTGAGCTCGAAAGCAGGGCATCAAACATCTGCGGAATCATGGGGCACTGGTCGCGCTGTGTCCCGTATCCCCAGGGTTCCAGGAGGCGGTACGCACCGTGCTGGACAGGGTGCGTTCGGAAACATGTGCCGTGGTGGTCGCATGTTTGCGCCCACGCAAATTTGGCGCCGCTGGCACAGGAAGGTTAACCTAAACCAGAAGAGGTACGCAATTGCGTCCGCATTGGCTGCGTCCGCGGTCCCCTCTTTGGTTCTTGCTAGGGGTCACAAGATTGAGCAGGTTCCTGAGGTGCCGTTGGTCTTGAGCGACGGCGCTGAGGCTATCGAGAAAACTTCCGCGGCTGTGAAGTTGTTGAAGACTCTCGGTGCCTACACTGATGTTGAGAAGGTGAAGGCCAGCCACGCAATTAGGGCTGGCAAGGGTAAGATGAGGAACAGGAGATACGTCTCTCGTCGTGGGCCTCTTGTTGTATATGGTACTGAGGGTGCCAAGCTTGTGAAGGCCTTCAGGAACATTCCTGGTGTTGAGGTGGTTTCTGTTAATCGTTTGAACCTTCTCCAGCTCGCTCCAGGTGAGACGCTAGATTAGATCTCTTAAGTCCTCGAAGGATTCTAAATGAATGTGCACAAGATATGATGTGTTACTATGATATCCGAACGCAATGCCATGATTAACCATTTGAGTCAGTTGTCTTTTGTGTTGATTCTGCTCCCTTTGTATGTAGTGCTCAATATCCCGAATCTACACGGTTCTCAAGCTCTGGCTTGTAATATATCATAAAGTAATCGAATATTGGTTATGCACTCACAGGTGGTCACCTTGGACGATTCATTGTCTGGACCAAGTCGGCTTTTGAGAAATTGGACGATATCTTTGGCACCCAAGAGAAGAAGTCCCTCCTCAAGAAAGACTACATCCTCCCCAGGAACATCATGGGTAACCCTGACTTGGGTAGGATCATCAATTCTGACGAGGTCCAGAGTGTCGTCCGTCCTACCAAGGTCGACACCAAGAGGCGTGCACTGAAGAAAAATCCTTTGAAGAATTTGGGAGCTCTTCTGAAGCTCAACCCTTATGCCAAGACTGCCAGGAGGATGGAGCTTTTGTCTCAGGAGAGACAGGCGAAGGCGAAGGTCGAGAAGTTGCAGAGCAAGAGGAGTCAGCTCAAGGTACCCTTTACTTTTTGCTCATAGTTTGTTTTTCAAAATCCTGATATTTTGTACATGTTCTCCGAAGTGAACATGGACAGATTTGCCCTAATTTCGTTTTCCATCGTACGAAGTACGTAGAATTACTATCGTAATTGAAGTTGTACACATTACATTTCTAGGATCACGTACGGGCAGACTTTTGGCATTAGTCAATCGTTTGCAAAATAGTTTTTAATTATTCATTATTGGAAGTATTTCTGTGTCTAGTATATGTCCAGCTGCCGCTTGCATCTAAAGTGATGTATTCTTTGTGCAGCCCGAGGAGAAGGAGTTGATCAAGAAGCAGGGGGCTTCATGGTACAAGACCATGGTTTCAGACTCAGAATACACGGAGTTCGAGAACTTTACCAAGTGGTTGGGCGTTTCTCAGTAAATAGATTATTGATAGTTGCTTTTCGCGTGTACTGGACTTATTCGATGGAATCTTTCTCGGTTTCTCTTGCTCGAGTAGAGGCTCACTCGATTATAAACTGTAAGCGTGTCCTTTTAATGAGATTAATCCGGCTTGTCAATCTGTTCATTATCTGTGCTTGATCAGTTATTCAGCGTTCTGCTAGTGTTCTGAACTAATATTCACACGTATGTAGGTGTAACTCTTTCACGAGTACAAGCAGTTTCTACTTTGCATGTTTAATATACCTGCGAGTTCCCTCATATCCCGAATGCAGATGACAGAGACATGGTTTTGAGGAGCGAGACAAACTTTTAAGGGATATTTTTGGTGGAGTTTTTATTGCATCTTTGGTGTTATGGACTAAACTGATATTAATGAACCATAGCAAACTATGATTTCATTCGATATGTTTCGGTGTCACTGTGGCATCCATCTGCTCAAGCCTACCTGGCTACTATGTCACTTTTGTTTACGCTGTCTTTGTCAGGCACTTCATGGATATTCGGCAGTCTATCCAATATACGTGGAAGATTAGAACTGGGGCGGAACTAGAAAGTTCTGGTTTATCTCTGGAATACATTTTCCTGTCTCGTTCAAGTTATTCGAGGATCTATAACTACCTCATGTTGCCGCTTGACTTGTGTAAGATTTTGAATTTCAGCTTCAATATTCGTAGGGCGATTCTGGTCATACGGCAAACTCTTATGAATTTTTCGAAAGATTTCAGGGAGGCCAATTTCTGTTGATGTGTCACCTAACCTCTGCATTGTGGGTCATTGCCCTGCTAGAAAGTCATGTGACATATTGCAGACTACGATGTCCTCCCATGTATGCAGATTTCTCCAAGCTTCCCCGCGATCGATGCCACAGTTTAAACACATACCTTGCAGGTTATCTTTGGTCAACCTGATCACTAGGGAAGCCTGGTTCGAAACGTGGGCTCGTGGACAGTGATGAAGAAAACTCGGGATGTCTTAGCTAATTGTTTTCAGGGTGTTTCAAATGCTTTCCGATTCCGCTGAGCATCCATGTCTTTTCAATACACCTGAAAGATACCCATAACCTCATGACTTTGCTTCTCTTAAACCCCAATCAATGGCTGTCTGAGAAGGATAGAGAAGGTACACAAAGTCGTTGGCAATAACTGTAAGTAACTCGATCAGCCCATAGATTCATGTTGATTTGTTCTGAAATTGGCCTACCGCCATTTATGAAGCAAACTCTCAAGTATCTTCAGCAAGAACTTTATTACTCTCCTCACCTCTCTTGCTGTCCTAGCCCTTCCCATGACAGATTGCATGAGATAGTTGTCGGTAGTGCGTAGTCGATATTTTCCTTTTGTGCTCATGGTAGACTGATTATCAGGCGTGAGTAATAATCCTATTGGCTTTGTACACGCTAGTTAGAAATCTGCTTAACATGATTTTGCACCAGCTTATTTTCTTTTTATTTTTCCCGCAAGGAAAATGCTAATATTGATATCGAGCGTTGAGGTACGCGAATGGATGGTGAATTATTAGAGGTTATTGTTGTAGATATTAGGTCTTTGACAGAGTCACGGTGTTAGTTTCTATTTATTTGTGTGATGTATCTGGTTGGAGTGTGTTATCTCCCCTAGACGCGAGCATTTCGACTAGCAAAATTATGGGAGCGCTGATCGCGGTGGTTGCAACGGTCCCGTTTCCGTGGATGCTATGCTAGTGAACATTGTGAATGCCGTCACTCTGGAGTTGAACCTTTTGACATAGTCTACAATTGTTTCTCACATTACTTGGTGAGAATCCTTTCTTCAGATCAACTACACGAAGCCCTGGATCTTAACCTTCAATCCTGAGTCATTCTGAAAGCTTTGTGCCCTCTGATTAGACGTCATTTGCATTTCCTCTACGTTCCGTGTTACCATCAGTTAATAAGAGCCTACTACGGCCAGTTTCAGGAATGATAGTTCAACTCTCTTGGATAGTCCAAGATGTGATAGGGTCATATTAATTGGATTCCTGGGCCCGGCTGGACTTTGAGATGTGAAACGAATTTGGAGTTAACGGCCTGGCACTCACTTGTGAGAGACGTTAGAAACTACCGGTTGATATTCAATTATGAAAGAGCCATGACGTCTAGCTTTGAACACAGTAGCACAGTAATGGGAGATGGTAAAGCTATGATTGAGAGCCTACAAAGCACAATAATGACTGAACAATTTGATGTGCAGATAGAGTGACCTGTAAACGGTACACCTCACAACCAGTTAACGCAGTAGTCAATGCTAAGAAATAGCCTCTCCTTTCTTCACCCAACGCAGAAAAACAAACAAAGTTTGCGAAAAACTGCACAGCCTGTTCAAGGTTATCATCGCCCAATAAGTTCTCGTGTAATTCAACAGTTTCTTTTCCGTAGGTGACGGAAAAAAGTTGCTCTCTATCTACTCAGAATCCTATACTAATCTTCTTTCTCAAATGTGTTCCATCTTGAGGTTATATAATGTCTGGTTGCATAGTTTACGGGGAGCAGGAAGTAAAGTCAACGTGGATGGATGGGTCTGAGTGGGTCATCTTCACAGGTGATGTTTCTATTCATGCAAATCCTCAACATGGTAAATTTAAGCAGTAAATTCTATTCGGGTTGAAACAAGGTTGACTTTATATTATTGGGAATAAAGGTTAAATCGTCGTTTTCCCTTGAATTGGGAAAACGACATAGGGCGGGGTCGAACTACATATTTTTGGCAAAATTAGCGACCGCTATTACTGGACGATGCAGCAAGTTGCTGGTCTCGTAAAAAGTTTCGTTTCATGCATGGACCTTTCAGAAAATCTTGTGTTTCGAGCTGTAAAATACAACTTACAGGAATGAATAGTTGAAACTTGCTAATATCATTTAGCCTCTTATCCTCACTCAAATCATTATGTGAAAGCTTTAAAACTATAATTCCACGACGTCCCTTGTGGGAGTATTTCATAACCAGAACCCAGAACTTTGCCTCCTGGAACCATTTTTCTTGCTGCAGAAGGTTTACAACTTTTGGTGGAGCGAATGCGTTGTGAAAGAAACTCTCAAACTGGTCTTTGAAACCTTGAAGTTATGGAGGGAAACGTTGTATTGTGAAGGGTTTCTTTGGGGTGTAAGACTTATGATTCAAGCAACAAAAGTGCACAAACATTATACTTCTGCCCTAAGCATTTCCTTGGTCAATGTCAGATCGGCCATGAGTTTGCTTTTAGTGGCAATTCCCACTTCAAATCTCTGAATGAGCATGTGCAGCACACACAACTTGGAATGATGCATCTCTACCCATGTGGGCAGGTTTATCTATCCACCAATAAGAGCAAATCTCTATTTCATTCAATGAATGCATAAGCTGGGAAATAATATTTGTAAGTGTATATAAATGTATATATATATATATATATAGAGAGTGTTGCCATTTCCACCACAACTTGCCCTCCACCACATGCCACCATGATTTTTTTGCTAATGCCACAAGCTCCTCTAAATTTTGAGTTGCACACTTTTGCCAACGTCATTATCAAAACTAATTGAACCATGTGACGTTGTTGGCTTCTTAAAATATTAAAGTATGTACGTACACTTGCAGAAAGTCTAAATATATTTTTTTATCAAACTATCATTTTTTGAAAAAAAAACATTAATTTTAAAATTTCAGAGATTTGAAAAATTTAAATAAAAATGAACCATATACTTGAATGTTCATTTTATTTATCTTTAAGTTATACCTTAGCAATTCAAAAATAAGCATCGTTTTCAGTTTGAGATTACAGAAAATAATTTCTAGCAGTAAGAAATTTAATTAAGAAATATAACAAATAAAAATGCTACATATACATATTCAGTGCTAAAAAACATTTTAAAATAAATATTAATTTTAAGATAACTATTTTGGAACTAAAACTTTGTTAGTTTGTATTTGTAAATAAAATTTTCTTAAAGTCAATGTTCCTTTTTTATAATATTTAGTTAAATTTTCTTAAGTAATTTTTTTAAAATTTTATTGAATTAGAAGTTCTAAAATTATATATTCTAGTAAATTATAAGAAAATTAATTCAATGAAAATAATTACATATATATATATATATATATATATGTATTCTTCTATTAGTATTAGATGTATTTATTATTATATATATTTATATTTATATTGGTTTAATTGTACCAATTTTAAAATCTTTGTAACTTCGTATTAAAATAGAAATAAAATACTAATCTTGCAAATAAAATTTTAAGAAATCTCTAAAATCAAGTGCAATAATTTATTATCAATAATTAAATTTATGCAAAAAATAAAATTTAAAATAATCGATAGTATTATTATTAAATGTCTAAAATTTTGTCATGAATGTTGCTTGAATAATTTTATTTCTTGAGATCACTAATCTTGCCAGTAATAATTTTCATGTACAAAATATTAAAATTAAGTTTGAGAAAAAAATTATTATTGTATATATAATAATTTATTAAATTATTTTTATTTTTTAATTTTTTATTAACAAATATTTTATGTACATATTCAAAATAAAATATTTGTTAATTTTAATATGTTATTTTATTTGTCATAATTTTACAATATATTTTTTAATTAATTTAATCAAATTATCTTTTAGAATGATTATAAATTTACAATATTTAGCACTAAATTCTAAAATACATTTATACTTTAATATTTTTAGTTAATATGCTTCAAAAAACTAATATTTTGTAAATATCATAATACATAAGTATAATAAAATTTAGCTTATATTTGTATTTACTAAATAAAAATAGAATTATGCATATTCTTTCACCTTTTATAATCATCTTTGTAGAGGTTTAAAAGTGGATATGTCTTGAATTTGATACGCATAATTAGATCATTGAAGCAATAAAGGATTTATAAAAGTACATGATATTGTAAGATAGGTTTTTGTCATTATTGTTTTGTTGAGAAATATTGTAAAGTAGATTTTAATACAACTATTTATTGTATAGATAGTAAGCTAAATTATATTTAAATATATTAAGGAGTATATTTAGTATTTCAAAAAAGTTAAAATATTAAATTTTTGTTCTTGTTGCAATTATCTATTCAAGAAAGATATGGATTATACAATGAAGCACAAAATTCGAGGTATTT